TATTTTAAGCTTATCATTAATTACATTATTTATATTAGTCGATTAACCGTAACTGTATTAACGATATTTGATTATTTTATTAGTTAACCGGAGAATAGTTAACTAAGTGACTCGCTAATATTATACCAAAATAACCAGTCGATAACCTAACCAACATAAGACCTCCTTTTTATAATTGTGCATTTTTCTAGATTTTTTCCTACATAACTATGTATTATATTTTCAAGTTGCTATCATTGAATAAAAAACAATTTAACATACATATCACACCGTTTTCAACTCAATCCAACACAAGTACATAATAACACCATTCTACAATCAAATTCGACTATAGAAGCAAATAAAAATAAGAGACCCAACAACAATTACTCAACTAAAAAATCCCACCAAATTACGTGGAACCTTAAAATGTTATTGATTGTTGTTGAGCTATTGTGCACACGACCAACTTTCTATTGTGCTCCTTCTAAAGCCTTTTCTTGAAATTATTCTCATTTGAACCTAAGTCACTATTGCAACTAGGGTAGGCAAGGAATCATGTAGGTCTTCAAGCATTCCACTATTTTTTGTCTATTCTTGCGTCTCATTGAGACCTATTATTTTCGGCTCTAACTATGGGGATGTTCATAATAGGTTAGTCAGTTAACCGTTTAACCATCGGTTACTAGTCGTTTAACAGTCCGTTATAATTAGCTAAATTTGACTACCGAGAACCAACTGTTTAGTGTTTAATGGGCTATAGGTGCCACCATTAATCATCAGTTCTGATTTGATTATTAGTTACACCGCTAATAGGATAATCGTTTAACATCCCTATGTATTCTTTGTATCGTGAGGCGATCTATTATACTCCAAAAGTATTGATGTTTCCAGGTATAAGCTGAAATTGTATTATAATATCAAAGGTACAAGTTCAGTTTGTACCATAACAAAATCGTACAAAAATATATAGGTACAAACTAAACTTGTACCATAGCGTTGAACGTACAAGTCCAATTTGTACCATAAAGGAAATTGTATGAAAAGGTATATGAACAAATTGAATTTGTATTTTATAACATTAAAAATACAAGTTCAATTTGTACCATAAAAGAACTTATACGAAAATATATAAGAACAAACTGAATTTGTATAACACTAAAGATACAAGTTAATTTTTAATGTAAAACCCAACAACTGCACAGTGCACACCCCTAACAATCTTTACGTTTTATATATACTAGGTGTTGTCTGCACTTCGTCGCGGGTATTATAATTGTTTTATTCGGATTTGATTAGATTAAGAGATTTTGTAATAAATTTATAATCAGATTAAATATGTAAATAATATAATATCAATTTAAACAATTACCAACATTATTTTAAAAATTATTTGATTGCCCTATCTTTTATTAAAGTTTAAATATAAATATCCACCGCAAGCACATATTCCGAGTTCATATTTTATTTTTGTTGAAAAGGAGGACAACAACTCACTAAAGAAGATTTATCGCAATGGTGAGTCTCCAGTTTCATTAAATATAATGGATGAATATGTGATGTTTGTGCATAAAAAAATTAGATATGCCTAAGATCCAACTTCGTAGTCAGATCAAGGAGTGTGTTAGGAGAAAACACACGACATCAACATGGAAATATGACTCATTTCTTCAAAAGGAGTAGAGAGAAAAATCTTGTTTAGGAAAAATTTACGCTCCCTATGATGTTAGACATGGTAGAATTTTCTAGCTATTTAATTTTTTATTTACATTATCAATATTAAATTTTCTCCTTAACGTCAATCATTATCCATAGTTAGACAAAAAAAGTAAAAATCATAATTAGACTATATAAAATAGATGGTAGCAGTGGGCTTCCCATGCCCACGTAATAATCTTGGTTTCCTTAAATAATTAACCAAATTCGTAATCAGCAGGAGTGTGCAACAGGTTGGTCCGTATCAGACCGCATCGGCTCAAACCGAATCTTAGATCAGATCACACCGAATCTTGGATCAGATCACACCGAATCGAATATAATGTAGTCCGATACTTAGTCTTATAAATTTATAAATACGGAAGAAAAATAATTGAATTGACTTTTGGACCAGACCAAACCAAGCCAAAATCATATGGATGAACTGTTGATCCAGTCCTTAATTCTAAAATGTATTTCACTATTGAATCGCAGTTCTCTTGAATTTGATTAAAACCGAACCTTAACACACCTTACAAAATTAGCAAGTTCATCAATTCACTAATGTATGTGAGTGCTAGTTGCAATGGTAAGAACGACCGTACCAAATATCTTGCATGTTACCCTCTACCCATCTTTTATCAATAATATAATTATATAGGTTTGTTTCCATTAGTGGTTAGGTTACCAAATTAAATGAAGGTGGTGTAAGTTAGCAAAATTCTTAGGCAACAGTAACTTTACTTAAGCTTTATATATATTAACGGCCTAATATACAAGGTAAACCCAACGATTTCAATCTTTACCATGATCAGCAAAGGATTTGATTCCTTGCTGATTCTATAGCTATGGTTGTATAAGGAACAAGTAGAAGACATCGACGTATGCTACGGAAATCATTAGTCAAATAATAATCCGAAAAAAAAAACTAAAAATTTCAAAAGGGAGAATCGCATCCTGAGTTCCTGACCATATATACATCTTAATTAACACTTATTTATATATTTATATTTTTCGTTTAACCATTATTACGGTATATATAGATACATTCCCTTAATTATCATATTCAATTCACGAATCTTATTTCATTCCCTTCTTTCCCTTAGGGTTTTCCGCCCGCCGCTGCAATCTTCTCTTCATTGCCACGACGTCTCAATTCAGAATTGCACAGAGAGGCATTGCGGCAATTGTCGTGATCACGCGTCCTGCTTCCGACCAACTGCTCCTGTGTCCGCGTTCCCGAAGGCACCCCTCTCTTTCAAGAGGATTCGCGGCATGTCAAGCTCTGGTAAGATTCTTCGCTTTGCATCGAATTAAACCACATGTTCCACCGCTTGTGCTGCCCCCGTCTGCGGGGTTTATTAACATCGTCCATCAATGTATGCACGACGATCAAGTGGGAGTCAGAGTTCATTTAGGCGTTCTTCAGGCAGAGCGATTGTACAAAGCACAGTGCTCTCTTCTTGTATCAAAAGTTGCAGTTTGTTAATTGCAAGAGAAGCCGCGTTTCTCCATTTTTGTTATCGGCTATGATTTGTCTCAGCAGATCGATCAGCTACACTTTGTGCTAACGTAAGTTATCGGGTTTCTAGATAGGTGTTTGTTCCTTTTATTTTTCGTTTTTGTTTTATGGACTAATTATCTCATGACTAAGATGAATGATTTTCTTTGTTTTGCTACCATTTCAGACGCAATTTGCTCCAAACCTGGGTGATCAAGAATCCTTGAAGGAATTTTTGAATTGATGGAGTTCTTATTTATTTCAATGTCCAATGTACGACAGCAATTTTCCGTATTTAATACTAAATAATTACTTCTTTTTATTGATATTTTACTCTTTACTTTTATCTTCAAAAGAATGTTGCTAATTGTGGATGTTCTTTCTATAATCAAATGTGACAATCTCTCATCCCCAAAGACATTGTATAAGGGACACAGTCGTCCCTAGAATTCACGTAGATGACATTTCCACGTTCCCAATGATCCCACTTAACAGACAATTAGTTGTTCCTAAAAGGTGCATAAGTGACAACTCCTCGTTCCCAAAACACAAGTTAACCGACAATTGTTCGTCCCTAAAATTATAGGTGACAACTTGTTGTCCCTAATGATATAGTATAAGAGACAACTTGTAGTCATTGAATAACCTTTTTTGGGACGATTTTTGGACTCCTATTTAATATCATAGGAACGACATGTCGACCCTATACAAAGAGAAGGGGATGATATATTATCTCCATATAGGTGTAAGACAATCACGAAATCAATATGTGGGACAACAATTTGTCCCTGGAAATGAAGTTTAGGGGAAGACTTATTGTCGCTAAAGTTATAGCTATAGGGACGACATGTTGTCTTTCATGGAAAAGAAACTAGATGACGACTTGCACGTATAGGGGACGACAGTCGTCCCTAGTAATGGGGACGACCTAGATTTTTGTCGTCCTCAAAAAAATAGAGGACAAAAGTATAGGGAACCACACCTTGGGGACGACTAAGTTGTCCCCAAAAACTATAGGGACGATTTTCCCTATTTCCGGGGATGACTTTTGTCATCCCCAAACCTCCTCTTTTTTGTAGTGGAGAGTTCCGTTAGTAAAAGCTATGTTTCGCCACAAGTAGGCTTTTGCGACGCCGCAAAGCCGTCCCGCTCTGTTTCCAATACTAGCGTCACAAAATACACACCTTGGGAAAGAAATGTTGGTGGTAAATGTATTTTCATATAGTTTGTAACCCTTTGTACAAAGAGGGGAAACTATAAATACACATTTTCGAGGTCTGCCAATAAATTTAGTTATGTGACTTAATAGAGTAGAAGCAAGGGCAAGACAACCAAAGACTCTGAGTTCTTTAAGGGTAAATTGCAAGTTTGGTCACTGAAATTACTTAAAAAGTTTAGGTTTGCCACTAAAACAATTTATTTCATAGGTAGTCATTTAAATTAGTTTAACAGTTCAAGTTTGGTCACTCTCCGTTAGTCTCCGTTAACTTTAGCTGATGTGGCGGTCAACTCTGAGAATTGACCGCTAAATAGGTGACGTGACAATTAAAAAAATAAAAATATAATATAATATTTTAAAATTAATCCTAATTGTCACAATGAATTAAAAAATAAATAAACCATAAAAATTATAACTATAATTTTTATTCCCCTTATAACTGTAACATTCGTCCATCCAACAAGCTCATACCCGTTCCGCCGCCGCCAGCAACATCCTCGCCGGCCAGATGCTTAGCTTCGGTTGCAGTCCGACATCCGCATTGATCTTAGCCATCTGCTGAAACATGCCGCCGTTGATCATCAGGTAATCTCTCAATGCACCATACTAGTCCCCTCTCAGCGCATCCTGCAGAGTCTTCACATAAAACCGCTGCGCCTTGGCTAGCGCCATCAACCCTTCCGCCTCCTTCTGCTTCCGGTACAACTCGGCGTCGGAGGCCTGCTGCCGCTCGAAGAACGCCTCCTTCGCTGCCATCATCTAGGCCTCCGTCTCCTTCTCTCTCCCGTACAGCACTCCCTCCGCCGCCTCTGCTTGTTGTACAAATCCCAATTCGCCTCTTGTACCTGGAAAATAACACACAGATCTTCAATCGATCAATTTTCACCCATAATCATTAATCAATCAATAGTCATTCAAAAGAGGGTACCTAGATTCATCAACCAATCGATTTCTAGATGAAAATCAAGAAATCTAGATTGAAATTAGAAATTGACCTTCCGCTGCCGCTGAATCGCAATGATCTTCGTCTCCGCATCGATCTTCGCCGCCTCTGCTTCTTGTACAAAGCGCACGACTGGGTACGAGCGCCAGAGATTTGGGGTACCGGATCTGAGAAGCGGCTCGCGGACGGCAGAAACGAAGAAGAATCCACCGCCGCCCGGGCATTCACGCAAGTGGGAGGACTGGGAGCTCCCTTGCTACCTCCATCAACTTCCTAACCATCTTCATCCTCTGATTCCGAATGAAACAAGAAAATGGGAAATCACGTCTGGTGGGATATGAAATCTTCCCTGGTTGTTTATTTTCCCTTTAGTTGTTGATAATGTGTAGCCCAGTAATAAAAGATTACATTTTTTTTGTTTTGTTTATTTTAATATTTTGTTAAAGTGAGGTAGAAACTATAAATATTTAATTTTTTTTTATTTATTATTTTTTAATTCTCACGTCACCTATTTAGCGGTTAACTCTCAAAGTTGACCGCCACATAAGCTAAAGTTAACGGTGACTAACGGAGAGTGCCCAAACTTGAACTGTTGAACTAATTTAAGTGACTACGTATGAAATAAATTAATGGGTGCGCCTATGGTGACATGCATGTCACCGTAACTTGCACTTTTTGGTCGGCCTCAGTTAGGTTTAGGTCGACCTAGCTAATATCTTGTTTCAGTGTAAAAACAGTTTCATGGTGCCTACTTTGGAGGTTCATATCTTACAATTGGCTCGATGGAAATTGGAGATTAATGGCTTGATTTGAAGCTGGATCCCTCTACACATTGAAGTGCTTGGAAGCTCGATAAGAAGTCCAGAAGACCATTTTTGAACCTGATCAAAAGGCTATACCAAAATTGGGAAATTGGCTGAAAATGGCTAAGTCTGGGAAAGTGTTTGTGAAGCCTACTTTGGAGCTCAATTCGAGAAGCATGGATGATATTCGAGTCCAGGGGCCTCTACCACATGAAAGTAGGTATGTTTGTCTACAAATTCAAGGCATTGGATGAAATATTGGATATCTGGAAGGCTTCAAACAAAAGGCTTGAAGTTGCTACGAAATAAGCTTGCCTTCTAGCACAAGACTGAAAGTGCAAGTTACGGTGACATGCATGTTACCGTAGTAAAGTCTTAAATTAATTTTAGTGGCAAACATGAACTTAATTCCATTGACCAAACTTGCAATTTAACCATTCTTTTAAATTTGGTGGTTTGTAATGTAGGCATTCAAAGGGAATTTTGTTTTGGATGAAGGGAAAAGGAAATCTATTGAAAAAATGCATGATGACATGTGGCATACAATCACTACAAAAGTAAAGAGGAAAGCAAACATGATATTTAAGAGCTCCGATAAAATATGTTGATGTTTTATTTTCTACCGGACTATTCTGTTGGGCGTTTCCACACAAGATGTCTCATGAACTATTCCTTCTTTGGCCATGAAATTCACTCATTTTAAACACATGAGCATTGTTGTTTCTTGTTCTTTTCATTGGTTTCCCAAAATATTTGACAATATAAGCACAAAAAACTATATGTTGTCTAGCTTCAGATATTTTCATTGGCATGACCGAAGTAAATCGTGAATGATCATCCACGCGAGTTTGATAAAATATGAGAAGCCCTCATAAGATGGAATAGTATTAGAACCCCAAATATCATTATGTACTCACACAAAAGGTTTTGAACCGATAGACACACTAATCGCAAATGAGAGTCTTCTTTCTTTAGGAAAATGACAAATGAAATGTTGCGATGCCTTAGTTTCAATACTAGGATCCAAAGTATTCAAAATATAAAATCTAGCATGTTTTAAATGTCTTAATCAGGGTGTTTGTTCTTCCTAAGCTAAATGAATAGTAGGTGCTTCGTTTTAAGCCATAAATGCAAGCTATGAGTTGATTATATTGTTCCTTTGATTGTGCATGTGAGATTTGAAATACCTTCTATAATGTCAAGTAGTGCGGTTGGCTTTGTAGCAACAACTAAATGTGTTTGTCCTTGATATTGATTGTTAAAATTAGGGGTAAAATATCTCGGGTACCACTTAAGTTTGAAAATTGGGGTAAATATACTACTTAATTTTGAATAGGGCGTCTAATACGATTAAAGTCACCAAAAGATGCATTCGTCTAGTTTTCCTTCCAACCCAAAACTTTAATTATCTTTTGGTACTCAAAACTTTTAAAAACATTCAAAATTATATTTTATTAAATATTATTTAATATAAAAATTAAGAAAATTAGAAAAATTTTAAACATAGTATTACTAGAATGACTAATTAAAAATTTCAATAAAATAAATAATAGTAAAAAGAATAAACGAATTAGAAGAACTACTAAAAAATAATTAAAATAGAACCAATCGAACATCAATACATCCAGACCAAAGAAAGATAAATGAAGCACAATCAGAAATAAATAAACATATTCCAATAATTGAAAAAAAATAGAATTAAAACAGACGGAAATTAACCAAGTAATAAGTAAACTATAATAGCTACAACATTCAGTAACAAATCTAGAAAAGAAAATATGACTATAGAAAGAGAATTACAATTAGTAAATTTAACTAAGATGGAACATTTACATAATACTAGAGAATTACAATGAGATTTAATATAGAAAATTATACAATATCAGCATGATGTAAGAGAACTAAATATAACGTTCTCAGATTGTTTATATCAAGATAGAATTCATATGATATATTTGCTTTAGGGAATAATTCAATTATTAGAACACATAATGATAATTGAAAAATACTTATAATGATAATTTAATCTAAATTTCTTATTCAAGAATTGGTTTGGTATATATTAGGGTATTCAAAAGAGGATTCTAACTAAACAATAAATACACAATGTTTTTCATAAGTCCAAAAGACTTTTTACAATAAAAAAGTTTAAGGACAAATTCTGAAATTTAGAAAACGAAATGTGCCAAGAATATTTTGTTAACTTTAACAAAATGCACTTAACCGTAAACTTAAGTGGTACCGGGTGCACATATAATAGAGTTCAGTGGTACGTGATACCTTATTCTTACTTAAGTGGTATAGCTCCCTCAATTCTCCTATTTTAATAGTACTCGAGGTATTTTACCCTTAAAACTAGATGATCTAGGTATATACCTCGATGGATATATGTACTCTTGTAATACAACTCTATTATGTGGCCATTGAGTTTGTATAGTAAGTACTAAAGGGCATTGTACACATTCGGTTAGCACTAGCAGCAACACAATTGGGATTCTTATATCTAAAAGGCATGTTATATCTTTGTGGTGTGCGACAGAATGTCCTATTGCCTTCATATCATGGTTGACCAAATTAAATTCTTTTGATTGTAGGTGTTAGCATGACCACATATTCGATAGCCCTACTCTATTGAGAACTTTCATTGTCTATGAAGTTTATAATTCGATGAAACATAGAGTCTAGATAAGGTAATACATCAGACATGAGATTTTTGTTATAACCAAAGCATAATTGTCATTCAAACCACAAATGGATTGAAGGATCACATTAGTTTCTTGATAACTCCTCAGTTTAATGATAATTTTGCAGTGCAACACATTTTTCAACCATTACAACACAATATATGAGAAACCAAGCTGCTAGAGTTGCAGCTGGTTGTAAGGGAGAAGAAGAATGCGAGCAATGATTATTTGGAAACCCGCAAATTGCCAGGCCTTTTGTTTCTTCTATTTATACCAACGTTCAGAAATGTAAAGTTGCAGTAAACAGTAAAACGTGAAATGTCTGTTAAACTGTAATTTAAAATAAAACAAAATAGAGAATGCCATATATCCTCGTATGGTTGGCCTCTTGGTCTCCACCAAACGGTAAGTGTTGGTCTCTACGTCACCTTTTCAACCTCCGCTTTAAGCAAGGTGGAGGGGAAGGCAGAAGCGAAACGTTTCTGCCTGTCTTCTGCTCTGTTCTTCAGCTGCTGCTCCTGGATCACTTCTGCAGTTCATTTCATCAGCTTCATCACAATCTTTTTGCTTTGTTACAATCTGAAGTGGTTGGTACTCCATTAACTCATTCCACAACATCATTAAATGGGTATTATATTATGAGATAGACCTTGTAAAGTTCTTCAGTGTAGATAATTCTTCTTGTAACTTTGAAATGCACATCGAGTCTCTTTGATTATATCTTTTTTCATATTCACCCATGCTCATGCTGAACTTGACAAGGCTCTTTATGATGTTATCTGCAACACCCAATTTGATCCATCCAAATATTGTGGTATACAACTGATCCTTCAATGGTAAGTTTTTTTTTTAAGATAAGGCATTAATCATGAGTTTTTCCGGTCATTGTAATTTCTTTCACTCAGTTTCTTAGGCACAAGCAGTAAGCTTGGGTTTTCTCCTCCATGAAGAAAGTATGCATATGTAAGAGGGTAATATGTGGTGGTTGAAGTTGTAGGGATGACATTTATATTATCAGTAGCAAATTAATCCACTTCTCCTTCACTAGAAGGATCATTGTTTACTGACTCAAACATTGAAGATCAATAAGAAAAAATAGAGAAAAATGGAAAGCTAACAAGCCCTAGAAGGGAAAGCTTCAACCCCCCTTACTTCTTCAAAATTTGGTCTCCCCTTGGACAAGATCGAGAACTCCATCTTCTTTGCTTTCTTCCTCCTCTTCCGCAACTTCTTTCCTCACCCTTTCTCTCTCTTGTTCGGATCTGGCTGTGGAGTGTAGCATTGCTCTGTAGAATGGCCGGTGAAGGCCGCCATGGCTAACTCCAGCTC